GAAGGGTATGACTACTCGGGTCACATCATTTCCCGCCAATTTTCCCGAAGCCTGCAATGGCTGCTGGTCAGCAACTCTCGAGTTGACAAAGGTATTAATAGTGGAGTTGATAAGGTGATGAGGGTAGTCCAGACGTGAGAATAAAGACTTCAAGCCCTCACACTCCTCTGAAAAGTAAGGCCATGAAGAGGACAAACGGTACGCACGATCGAGCATAGTTGTTAATAAGCTCCATTTGTACCAGTTGTCAACATGACTCTGGTAGTGGACAAGTAAACCAGTATTAGTAGGCTTACACCGAGTTTGAACATGCAAACGGATTCTATCCGTGCTAAAGTATTTGTGTAGCCACCTCCGCTATGTAAATTAGTCATAACTCTTGAACCCACATTTGTTAATTTAATTCTCATTTGTACCCTTGATAATGGCATCATGAGGTCACCAAAACGTCTGGAGATTATATCGTTTGTTTTTACTTGTCTAATGCTGTAAATTATTTTTATTATTGGGTAGGACATGTGTCCTACCAAATCTCCATTTTGGTTGGCCATATTGCAAATTTGTATACAGAAATTAGCAGATGACTCAATCCGCATCTGCAAGCGACATAGCGAGACTTTCCAAGGAGATGTTCATGTCATGTTTATCCAAGTCCAGAAAGACTGTTTGAGCAAAACAAACTGCAGAGCTATATGATTAGTTTTTAAAATGTTTCAAAGCAAACATGACGTGCTCACAACATCTTCACATCCAAAAACTAAGTCATTTTGGAGCTCCATCATCATGTCTGATCTTAGGGTAAAACTAGTCGCAAACATTTCAAAACTTTGTCAGACTTGTCCACCAACAACTGTTATTTCCATCACTGTTACCCTGATGCATTATTAAAAGTTTTCACTTGAATCGAGTCAAGTTATATCTGTTATATAGCACTTGAAACCAATAATACCCCTAAAACAGAGGGGTCAAGGAGTTGAAAACAAAAGCAAGAGCAAGATAGCGGGTGGGAGTTGTTATCTGTTTTTAGCTTCCACTCAAGAATCAGATGAATGTACAATATTCAAAATGGGGACTCAATCTATAGCTCTAATGGAGATTTCATTTATGTCTGGAAAACAATGATTGGGACATAGGAAAATGCAGAAAAATTTGGACACATTTCCAAACATCTGTATAATTTTATGCCCTGTAAATATCAAAGCTCAAACATGGCATCTCTTTTAACCATCCTAGCTACCTTACTTTCTCAACCCTCTCACAGCACCAACACTCACAGCTCATGACTTTTGCCCACGACGAAAACCCACTCCCCAGAGTGTTTGGCAGGTCGAGCTAGATAACATTAATCAAATTAAAACTTGATTCTTAATAGAAAATATTGAACTCTTAATCTGAAGAGCGGAGGTTTGACACAATGAAAATTGAAGGTACAAAACTGTCTGATAATAGGCTTAGTGTTTTGTAGAGAAACACTTGACCAGGTTAGACCGTAAATCTGTTAATTGGTCATGGCTTCTGTACGACATGCAATACATCAAGTCCACCAACAAATAGCATGAAAAAAGTCTTAGCTCAATGTCAACATGTACTATACAAATATACACCAAACAAAATTTGCAGGAAATACAACATTATTTATTTTGAAAATTTTAATCTTGAAGAACTGTGAGTTATTTCCAACACTAATTTCCAAAATCAAAAATAAAATTAATTTGTTCAGAACAAATTATTCTGGTTTTAAGAAAGATTTGCTTGCAATCAAATTGAAATATTAATGATGCAAACCAAAATTTCCACAATTAAACAACGTCTAAAAAATAGCTTTCAGAAAATAAATACATTTCGTCATTATGTATCATGCAGAGTCGAGCAAAAGGTCAAGAAAAATAACTTAGAAAACTCTATGACATGGGCTATCATTATAGTCTTAGTTGAGAAACTAACAAGACGGTACTGTGGGATGAAAAACACTATTCATCACACAGTATTAAACAGTTCAAAAAACATTGCAAAGAGAAAATGACCTATCACATCTGAAGCTTGATGAAAAGTAAATATCAGTATTGGCAAGTTCAGTAATAACTGGGTGAATAGTTTCAACCTTGCACAATAATAAGTAAGCAATTACTATTTCTGAAATGAATTACAGTGTTAGCAAGCTTCTTTTCCTCTGCCATGAAAGCCACAGCTATATCTGTGCATTACAAATATTTGTTTCTTTGACTTCGATGCAAGGTCTAGAGATAGAGTAAACACTATGAAACACAAGGTATCAGTAAGGCTTATAACAAAAGACAATATGCTCTTGTGTACAAAGTTTCACTTTGTAAGCATGCTGGTTGTAGCACAGTTGGATTTCTGAAGATAACTATATCATAACCAACTTTACGATCACCATTTCTTCAGTAAACTACACTGGGAAAAAAGACTTTTAGCACTAAAGAAAAAAAATTCTCAAAGGAAACAGCTTGTTCCCTCCATTCTGTCTATCTAGTGACCAATGCAAGAATACATAACAGCAGATTCGGCACACAGATAACCAACCACCATCAGACTGCCTAAACTGTTTGCAAAGAGCATGATTCTGAAAATATTACAATGATTCTACAGTTGCACCTGAGGATAAGAATTAATTCAAATTCACTTAGTTTTCCATGGCCGGTCAGGAAACTTCCTGAGCTGACAATTATGTACAAGGTTTCGTACTATGCAACAAGTCACGCTTTTGAACATCTCGCAACAACCACTCGAGGAATGATACTACACTTGGTTAAAGTGAAACGTACAGGGTACTTAAAAAAGCTTTTCAAGAGCGTCAAACTTTTGATCCCTTCAAACTACAAACGAAAATACACAGACAAGAAAATTCCAAATTAATGAGTTTATGTCATCTGCAACTTACACACACATATTTTTGAAGATATAGCAGACTGACATAGAATGGCTCCTGGTATAAAGTTTAACCGATAGATTTCCGTGCCAAACAAAACAAAACATTACAAAACGTATTGTGAAACCTACAGCTCTGGTCCATTAAAGCGAAGACCGGAGATACAGCACTTCAATGGTATTTCATACAACTTAGGTCATTTGATATAAAATTTCCGACTGACAAGAGATTGTGTTCGACTGAAGAGTAACTTTATCATGATTTTTATTCTTTCCTCACAAAACGATTTCATTACTAGGAAATTCCGCCGAGCGAAATTTCACAGGGTAATACGGTGGTTCAGACTTCAAAATTCGCACATCGAAGAAGAAGCCTTTCAAAATTTGCACCGAGTTCCTTGCATGTTTTGAAACGCGATACAAATTCACCACTACCATGGACAACATTTAGACTGATCGTGTTAAATGTCCATGGAATGCCGCTAACAGTAGTAGATTTACAGCCAGCACAATTTAAACCAAATGCCAGACCGATTCAAGAGGAGATTACAATGAAATGTATAAAGCAAACACAAACTCACTGTGCTATTTCAACGCTCCCGCAACTAGCTGCAGCATGTAGAGCCGTCCAACCCTCGTTGTCCCGTATGTCCATTCGGGCTCCATGGTCGACCAAAAATTGAACAAGGTCATAACTTTCGTCGATGCAAGCCTGCCGAATAAGAACAGCGATTAAAAGCCTTCATTACTAGGAACAGATGTAAATATACACGCTGGAAAGTGATTACTTGTAAAATCACTTGAATGCCTGAACCGCTCGTTTTGCTTCGGTTTTGAGCTGCTCGCTCGAGAGAATATGAAACAATAAATGACAAGGAATGTTTCGTCAGGAACAGTTTATTTCCTAAGAACACAAAATATTGAAAGTTCTGCGAGCAATCGACAGAGCAATGTGATAATTCTGAGGATAGAATTCGACATAAATTTCCTTGTAAGCATTTGGTTGTGGTCTAAATAGTTCAAGGCGTTAACAAGCATTTGGAGAATCACCCTGTCAAAAGCAAAGGTTTGCAAGCACTGAAGCTGCTTTAACTTTAGTCAGGTGGGGATTTAATGGAAGAGACACCTCAAAGTTTTTAGCTTGCCAAGAGCAACCCGTATAATCACTGTGTTTTAGGAGCGAGTGATTCGTTAATTAGGCTATTGTTTTGGGTTCTAGCTAGGACCCCGGACCTGGTCCATAAAACGCTCTCGCACAGACTGCTCTCGCATCCAATACAATTTTTATATCTCCAGCAGGAATGCTAGATACTGTACCTGATGTAACGCGGTGAGTCCATCGACATTTTGGTGATTTATATCAGCGCCTTTGGCCAGAAGATTCTTCACCTCCTCCACGTCACCGCTCGATACCGCCGAAAGAAACACAGTTCCAAGCGAAAACTGAATTTTAGTCTTCTTTCTCGACGTGTCCGAAGATTCTAGGGCTGTCTCGCTCTTCGTCCATCGTTTTAGGGATTCTTGTCGCTTCTGTAAAGCATTACTTGCTCTAGAGCTTTGGCCACCCGTAAATGGGTCCGCCATCTTCCCATGACGTTACAGAGCGACCAGCCCGAGGACCGAGCATGAGGCCACGTGACCAGATCGTAGGTGAGACGTGAGCCAATGACGACCCTTAGGAATTGTCAATAGCGTCACCAAGCAACCGTGACGTCACTTAAGAACAAGAAAATCACTTTTCAGTCAAGTACGTTGCGTAAAGAACAGAAAAAGATTGAAATAATTACAGACTTTCATTTGAGTCACGTAAATCTTACACAATTTCGACGTTTGTTTTTTTTTTCTATAGGAAGTCAATAAATAAGAGGATTACAAAGAACAACGTGAGACAATTGTGTTTCTGATATCCTAAACTACAACAATCCGCAGTAACTTTAAATTCACACCCTATATTTATTAGGAATTTTTAAAAAGAAATCTTCGGTTGGTGAGAAAGGCCAAGAGCGTGTTCTTATCGATTTGAAGTACTATACAACACGATAGAAAGGGAAAGTACTCCTTTTTGCCTTTCTTTTTTTCGACAAGCTTTGCGCGATACATTTTCAGTTGAAAGTGTTTCTTTCGTTTTTGCCTTAATCAACTGGAATGACAAACATATAGCGAAAATTTCAACCGGAATAACTGCACGACATTCCTTACTCCCTCTAAACTAATTTTCACTGTACATTTCAGCGGGAATTTGCCAGCATCCATTCAATAGCTATGTCAAAGGGGTCAAGTTTATTGTTTCCCTTATATGGAATGTCCTCGAGGGGATCTGAATGTGGATAACAGAAGTCGAGTTAAGATGTGAGCGAGCTTCTGTTACGTTTCCACCCTTACAGGCCTGCTAGTCAGAATATTTAATTAGGAAAATATCCCCTCTCTGCGGTTTACATTCTGCGAATGCCAAAACCTACTACCTCGCTTCAAACAATGAACTCACAATGAAAGCGGTACATCGAATCGAGCGTACAGCTGAAGAAGTCATTTCATTTGCCTAATCCGGGATATTCAGTGACCATCAGGCTCCCAGAAGGTCGCGTTCCTAGATGGTTAAATATTCGTCGCGAAGGTTCTACGATCTTACATGGCAAAAATTCGTGTGGGGGCCGTCATTCTTTCCCTTAAAGAATGCTTCAAATCGTTAACGTAAAAGAAGCTTAGTTTGCTGAAGTTATTGGCAGTGAATGAGGAATTTTCCAAATTCCTTTCATGTTTGTCACATTTAGGACAGCGGTCTTCGAATGAAGAGAACTAAATAAAATCAAGAACAAAAGTGTTATCTTGATTTAAAGTGTGTACAGCAATGTATATCAGCCTGAATTCAGGCTCGCAATATAAAACGATGCTCGAGAAAACGTATTTGACTACCATTGACACCATTACTAAAAGAGACAAAATTGAAACTGTTACCATCTCTTCTGCTCGTCCAATTCTTCCAATTTATTTCCGGTCCCGCTATTCTCGCGTCAAAAGGCCAAACTTTAGGGTGTGGGTGAGAGGGGAGGGAAAGTACCGAGTTGCACGAAATTTTTGTAGATTCTAATTTTCGCGATTTTTGCGGTTTTTTCATGATTCGCGAGAATGAGTTCCCGCCAAACGGAGTTAGAGAAATCGGTCCCAACTGAGGAAATATCCCGAACATTATAAAGGCATACAGCGACATGTGTAAAGGCAGGAATTAACAACACTATTAATAGACAGAGAGACGGCCAGAAGACGCTTGAATAAATATAGAACACGCAAGCAAACAACAAACAAATAAACAGACCTAACTGATTATAGGATTGTTATAAGAGAGACCCTGCTGGGAGCAAGGTCCAGCGAAGCGCGGTCATGTCACCCTCCTAGTTTTTCACATGGCCAAATGAAAGCAAGGTGGACACGTATGTTTTGACTAGAATCGTAATTCTTTGAGACACCCTATATATATTGGCAAAGGCGGTGGTCGTTACAAATTAAAAGCCTAAACCTAAACCTATATAGTTTGCACTCTTTTATTAAGATGAATTAAATATGATAAGGAACCTCGATATGATCGAGGCTTTTAACTGTGTGAACAAATAAGGCATTTTATGTCTATTTTGTTGGACGATAAACATTAATTACTTGTTATGCAATTCCTTATTCGATACATTTATTTTATTTCTTTGTTTCCATGTCGTTGGTTTACTGCGCTGTACTGCTGTGCTTCATTTTCTCAGAACCCTTTGTCAGGTCCCATGATAACCGTGAAAGGTCTAGAGTAAGAATATAAAGAAAAGGACCGCGCTGTGCACAACAGACGATAATCTCTCGCTGTGCATTAACAGTTATAGACTTCTGACACCAGGTGATGGTTAGTTTTCCACTTGTGTAATAAAAAATTGAAAAATTGCATTATAGAATACGATTACAATGGCAGTGGCTTTCTTTTCTTTCTTTTCTTTTTTCTGTCTTTTTTTGTTTTTTTTTTGTTTTTTTTTGTTTTTTTGTTTTTTTTCATGTCCATTTGTATATTTATTGTTCGTGTTCTACAGCACAGTGTTCTCTTATCTTCCGGCAATTAAAGTACTTCCTGTAGCCCAGTCCCCCTATCGTCTTACTTTTGGACTTCGGGTGGCGATGGACTGGACTACAATTCCTGGCCTAGCACCCAAAATAAATAACTATATACGAGCTTTTCCTGTCTTTTGCTATAACCAGTCTCAATTTTATCTGCAATATGATCCATTCGCGAAGCCAAGCACTTGTTGCACGTCCAATCAACCTTCTTTCTCCTCACGCCCAGATGGTCTTCACGCTGAGGAAAGAAAGCAAAACCGGACAGGTTAGCGAGGTTAACATTTAACGCCCCGTCCACACTACGTGGGCCGGAGGAATTTGAATAAGCAAAAAGCACCGGTCATTTTGGATTTGTGCTTGAGGAAAACTCGATCAGGGAAATCACATGATTATCGTCACGCCATCGTTTTCGAAAAGTTCCGTTTTCAAAATGTTTTCCTTCAAAACGAAAACGAAAAGTCGGCGTAATCAAATTCCTCCGGTTTGAAGAGCACTTTCGAAAAGCTGCGTTTTTGTGACGGGTTAGTGTGGACGGAAGGCCTAGTAGTAGAAATAAAGCTGCGTTTTAAAAATTCCTCCGGCCAAATGTTAACGGAGCCCGAGGAAACGATAAAAACCATAGGGACCTGGACATGAACTATTAGCAGTTGGAATTTAGTCAGTCGAGGAGACTGGCATAGGCATTCTGAACTTGGCCAACAGAGCCATCCACCTTTTTAAGTGCTGGCCAATATTTTTTTTCCCTGCTGTTAGATCTTCAAAAGGTGTTCAAGATCCAGTTTTGCTTTTACAAAATCAATGCAATTTAGATGGCAGTTTTTCATCTCTAACCAGCCATCGTTAGAGTGGTAAGCCGCGATCGTCTAGTGGTTAGGACACTGCGTTGTGGCCGCAGTAACCCAGGTTCGAATCCTGGTCCCGGCACTTTTTTTTCAAACTCCTGTTATTTAATTTTTATTTTAGCCATGTTGAAAAAAATTGTCATCTTAGGTATATATTTGTTTTGATTTTCAGAAACATCACCAAGAGAAGTTTTTTTTTATGGCAAACTTTAAAGAGAATTTGCAGCTCTCCTTCAATGCATTGTTTGCATTAAGAGAAATATTTTTCCATTTCCCTCCAGCCATGGTAGAGTGGTAAGCCGCGATCGTCTAGTGGTTAGGACACTGCGTTGTGGCCGCAGTAACCCAGGTTCGAATCCTGGTCGCGGCATTTTTGTTTTTTAAACCCCTGTTATTTAATTTTTATTTTAGCCGTGTTGAAAAAAATTGTCAGCTTAGGTATAAATTTTTTTCTGATTTTCAGAAACATCACCAAGAGAAATTTTTTTATGGCAAACTTTANAGGAGTTTAAAAAAGAAATGCCGGGACCAGGATTCGAACCTGGGTTACTGCGGCCACGACGCAGTGTTCTAACCACTAGACGATCGCGGCTCGCCACTCCTCGATAGCTGGAGGGAGATAGAAAATTATTTCTCTTAATTCAAACAATGCATTCTGGATGTTATAAGGAGAGCTGTAAATTCTCTTTAAAGTTTGCCATAAAAAAAAAAAACTTCCCTTGGTGATGTTTCTGAAAATTCCTATTTACAGCAAAAAAAATATTTATATACCTACGTTGACAATTTTTTTACACCATGGCTAAAATAAAATTAAACAGCAGGAGTTTAAAAAAGAAATGCCGGGACCAGGATTCGAACCTGGGTTACTGCGGCCACAACGCAGTGTCCTAACCACTAGACGATCGCGGCTTACCAATCGACCGACGGCTGACTAGGAAAGAAAAATTACCTCTCATAGTTTGGGCAAAACATTCTCGGTATTAAAGGAGAGCTAGGACATGAATCAGTTTTAAACATTAAAGGGTTACAGTGAAGGCCTTTTAGCCTGCAGGTTGGCTCATGTTTGAGAGCATACGTGCGAGCGGCGAAGCGAGTGGCATAGTCGTGAGAAAGTGTCACTTTCTTGGCGCCTATTTACCAGACTCCTCCCCGCCGGATCGCTTTGCTACCTTTTGAAAATAATTTTAGTAAGGTGTTATGTTTACTGAAAATGCCTACAATTATATCAATAGTTCCCAAAGCATTATTTATCTTCATCAGTCTAGTCACTTTTAATGCTTATCAATATCATTTTTGGAACAAGAACTGACTTGACTGGCAAGCGAGAGCAAACTATGTTTTCAAAAATGTTACGGTTTATGTGCTCTTTGACGCGCGACCCACTGTTTCAGAACAACACACCTTGACATCAGTTAAATGCCAAAGTTCAGTTCCCGCCCCGCAATCTACTCTGTCTGTCACAATTGCAAATATCTTTACAGTTCGCTTTAATTACATTTCCTTTAGTATGGTCAATTATTTCTGAGAATTTGGACAGTATGACAATGGGTGACTTTACAACTGTTTGCATCGGTCTTGTGCTGTGGTAAGGCCATCTAAAGCTAGTCGCCTTTGACCGGCCTTATGGTCTTTTACACTTTGCCGAATCCGCCTGCTGCCCAATGTGCCTGAAAAATGGTAACACTTCTTGTTTCCACCAAACGGCAACAGTAACATTTCACTCTGCCCGTGGATTGTAGACCACCCCCTGACGTAACCCAATGTGTGCAGTTTTTGAGCATTACCTGAAGACTTTCTCCCCCTGGTCTTTCATCTCCTTCTCCAGTCCCTCAACAGCTCCCCACTCACTGACAGAAGTGACACCGGGGGAGGCCATTCCGCCGTATTGCCATACGACATAATCCTTGCTGTGCGAAGAACCGATCAAACGCGACCAGCGAGCCATTCGTCCTGGGAAGTGCCGAGGATATGTAGCCTTTGACCATTTACCTTTAAAAAAAATACGTTATGTTAGCTGTTTTCAGTGTTTCTCACACTGAAGGCTTTATCTGTTCGAGCTTGAGAGAAGTGCGCTTAGCATTATTTAGACTGTGATGTTTATAACTGGCCCTACAATAATTTGAGTTAGCAGTGAGAAACAGTTTTGGTTTCGAGGTTGAAATATTCATCCTGCCAGGTCGTTGACGTGTGGGATAATAATAATAATAATAATAATAATAATAATAATAATAATAATAATA